AAATAAAACGATAATTCATCAGATAAAAATGTTACAAACACCCTTTCTAAACGTAACAACAATGGATATCAACGACAACGAATGAGATGTAAACGTTAGATTTGGTTGCACATTGTGTCTGACAAAAGAACACATATTGTGCCCTATAAATTATAAATTACAAGTTATTGTTGCAAAATGAGCGAAGATGACACCAAAAGAAGTAAATCACATCAAAAAAGTAATCCACCCTCACTGACAAATGACTCAAACACATGTTATTCTTTTGATTCAAATTTCAAACGAAAATATAAAGTGATGGTTTGTACAATAAAAAGGAGCAGAAACAAGTAACATGGCAAATAGATGAAACAGCGTCATTAAAACCCGGAACAGACAGTAAATAACATATCACTACAAAATATCAGTTAGTCTGGTAAAAGAAAAAGAAAAATTCGCATGGTTGTACATCACCTAGCAACGCGTGGCTGACGCCGACGAATGAGTAAGGGAATGCTGGGCGAGGGCATCTGAGGTGGTAAAGCCAGCGTCACAAACCTGAAAGTAGGGGCTTCCACACAATGATAAAATACCGGTTTTATAAAAAGTGAATCGACCAAGAATGATTGGTACCAGAGATCCAGACGGAAAATTTTGAACTGGCAAATATTACTCGATGAAGAGAAGTATCTAAGCTGGAGAGAAGAAAACCTGATACCCATAATAGCTCACCTGACAAACGTGAATTCTCGAAGAAACATGAGCGAACCAGTGTTGCTGCAAAGAGACCGCGTCACTAAATGTTTTGTTGCAAAGGGTACAGGGCAGATTCATTTGCTGAAAAGAATGCATCAGTCAAGAAGTAGGTTAGTAGATATCAAAGGCGTACAGCGTGTTACAAGGAGTAAAATTCATCACCTCTTCTTCTTGAGTTTTCTTTGGCTCAGAAGGGGCTCCAGACCGCGCAATTTCTACGCTGTAGATAAGCACATATTGAAACATCAAAGTGGGAGATATCTGGTCGCTTACCTAGCAGGGCTTGGCCAGGAACCGTCACTCGCGTCAGACATGGGTGAACCACGTGCATCGGCAACATCCTCGGTCAGTCGACTTGCCATGGCTGACGTCGACGACACCGAGTCTTCCTCTCGAGCTTCTGCAAATAACTGACTGAATGATGCAAGAGGAGATCACCACAGTTATTCAAAAACAGCAGGCAAGATTTAAAAAAAAAGATAGAAAGTTACGCACCAGGAGTGGCATCAACGCGTTGCTGATAGTGTGCAATAATGTGCAGCCTCAGGCTCTCCTTGTTTGGATAAACCTTATCACAGTGCCTTTTCGGACACTTCAAATCTTTCCCGTCTCGAATTGAGATGTGATCCGAGTACAGATGAACCTAAGATAATCAGATCTGCTGACTCAATGCGGCAATGAAGACGCTTGGATGAATTCGTTGATGGATCAGCTTTATTACCTGTAGATCGATGGGAGACTCAGCATTCACTCCACATATCTGGCACTTAGTGCCCTGCGGCATCAAGGGGGAAGCAGCATGGCCATTACTACTTAGGATACGAAGAACCGGTGAAGAGCATGTGCTCCTTTCCTGAATCGAGATCACCAGCATGCAACACATCAAAACTATGGAAGTAGAATGGTAGGTGGAGTAAAGCTGCTATGAAAATCGCTGCGCTCAAACTCACTGCTTCATTATCTTCTCGTAATTCGGCGACTACTTCTTGAACCGCGCGGATATTAGTGGAGTCACGAGAAGATGTGGACCGCTCCTCAAAACGACTATTTAGTAAAAGCGAGAATTTTCAGGATTTTTGATTACTTCTGCACGTGGGGGAATCCAGACATTTGCAGAGACGAGCTTGACGTTCGGAGTGTCATCACGACGCAGCGGATTCGTGGAATTGGACCTTATTGTTGAATCGCACCTTAAACCAAAATGAAACATATACATTATCACAAACCAGATACTACAGATATTTGATTCACCTATTTCGAGGTAAGGTATTCGTGTCAGCTGCAAGTGTGGTTGCGACAGCTTCGTTTAATGATCGCGGTTGCAAAATGATTTCATCAGCATCGGTTCGCTGGCCATTAAAAACCTGTTCGACCTAAAAAACGCCTATCAGATGGAGTGAGATATAACACCCAAACAATGACTTACCTTCTTAGAAGTAACAGTGATAGGTGCAGGTGAAGCGGCAAGTTGTTCGCGGCACTCTAAGCCATCGGAGACCGTCACTGCTTGAACAGATGGTCGGGCTGCGCCGGCTGCCACAGCTGCAGCCATCTGCATGGAAGCGCGTTGATTCTCTGC